AACTAAAAAATAGTTGTAAATAAAATTTGGTGCTGTCGAGCTCTAAATACTTTGAACCACCACCCAGAAACACACACCACCCACCAAACCAACCACCCACTGCACAAGAAGAACTGTGACCACCGCTATTGAACTTGAACTTAGCTTACTGAAGCCACCACAATCCACCTCAGTACACACCATACGAGAACACACCACACACACACAAAGCAAGCCACTGCGTCTAGAAGTTGTCCACAATATTTTTTTTTATTTTTATGCGATACTTTTCTTTAATTTTTGTTTTAAGGAACTTGGTCAAATTTGTTTAAATTTCCATTTCCGCTTCCGTTCCGTTTCTCAAATGCAAGCTTTCGTAATCCATCATTCAATATCGAAATATGTATAACCGAAACCATTTAGTTGATTGAGTTCCGTTGCATTTTGCCTGATTTCTCAGCTAGCTTTTGAAGCACTTATAACGAACCTAAGCTAAGGCAAACGAAATTTATTTCCTTTACGTTAACGCTCTATTTTCTTACTCTCTTTTTCTCTCTAACCAAATGAAAATACACAAAATCACACGATTACCAAACCAATGCGAACCAATTAATTCTGTGAAAACAAATATTTTAACTATAATTAATGCACCGGACGCTTTGCCTTTCAAATTTCCCCCTCTTTATAACTGTTAAAACAACATATAATTTAACGACGATAACATTTAAAAACAAAATGAAAATGATTACCGTTGACCGCAGGCCACCATGTTGAAAAAGAACAAGCTTAAAATGAAACGGAGGAACACGGAACCCACCATGATGGTGGCCGGCTCGGCCGCCCCTCCCTTGTCCTTGGCTCTGCCGCCCAGTGTGGGCGAGGTGGGCGTGGCCGGGGAGGGGGCCGAGGGCGACGGCAGTACGAACAACACGGATTTCTGAATATGGTACAGCGAGCGTCTGATTTAACGTGCTAATTCCAGCGCAGAACCAAACTGCACCCTACACCCCACAGACACCCCCACCCACGATAAGCCCACCCGATCCCCCACCCAACCAGCAGCAGCAACAGAAGCAAAAGGAGCAGGAGCAGAAGCCACTAGCCATTTCAGCAGTCCATAGTCCATAGTCCACACTAAACCAAACAGCAGGCAACTCGAAAATCAAAAGCTGTAATCAAAATTACATTGTATAAAGGAGTCCAGTCCAAATAATTAGATCGGATTAGATTTAGCAGCTCTGCAAACCCGACCGCCTTTCCACGTCTGAAATAAGTACGTTAAACTCAAACAGCTCGAACCAACACTGTCCGCAGGCCACGCCAAAGCTAAAAATAGAGCTGCGGGCAGGCAGAAACGAAACTAATTCAAATGTAAAACACAAACAATAGAGGGTATAGTGTAAAGAAAAGATATTTAATTCCAAAACACTCAGCAATAGTCTGGCCAAAGTTGTATCAAATTCAAGTTCAATTATGTTCCTTCTCGTTTTGTTCCTATGTAAGCAACAGCAGAAACCGATTAGTGATACCGTTAAACAGAGAGAAGCGCAAGCAGTAGTAAAAAAACAGGGAAAATGAAATACACAAAAAAAGAAAAGAAACAAAGAAGAGTAAAGCTAAGGCTAGAGAAACCCAAGAAACAAAACAAAAAGTACAAAATTGTTGAAAATTGTTTGTTATAACTAAATGAAATCGCGTAAAAACCAAGTGAAAACCCCCCAATTATGAAAAACAAAGAAGAATGCTATCACCAACTAGGTAAATATTGTTGTGTTCCAGCGAACCCAGCGGTTCCGAAACCAACGGATAAAAAAAACACCCAGCCAGGTCAAGATTCAAACGTACAGCAGATGCGGGAAAATTTATACGAAACTTTTTTTTTGTTGTGGTTCGATTTGATATTGAAAATTTGGAGAAGGGAAAAAGCTGCAAATTGCATAGTTGGCTAACTACTAATTGGGACGAAAAAATTGGAAACCACAGGCGGGCCTAGCTTGCCCTGTTTGCCATTGAATTAAATGGAACACCTTTGGATTGTGCAATTGGTATGAATTTTCTCCGCTGCTGTGCGCCAAAAAACAAAAATAAGTGAAACCACGCGAAATAGAAAAATGCATTTTCGAGAGTAGGCAACGGCATCGCAAGTATTTCACCTGCATTTGTCTAAAAACAAAAAGAAAGAAAACCAACTTATTTTGGATGTGAACTCCGCCTAGAGGAATGGGGAGACACAAAATCCGAAAACTACAATTTCAACTTTAAAGCGCTTATAAAGAAAAAAATTTTTGAAAGTTTTATAACTAATTTTACATTACGTCTTATGTGAACGACACACACACACATATACACGCCACAAACGATGTGAGGGATGGAGGCCAGGGCGGGGTCGAGTGCGGATCCCCCGCCCAAGCGACTATTCGCCTGCGCACTCGGCTCATCCCTGGCACACTACACAAAGTGACGACGTGGTCCAGTTGGGTGCGGGAATAGCCGGATCACACAGGGAGCGGGACGCACCCGGCTGCCGGCCCGCCGCCCACACAAGGTCACACCGCGGACACACGCCCACAAACAGACAAGAGTTTTTCCCCCCAAGCCTTCATACACGCACTGCCATGGAAAGGTCACGGAAATCGCATGGCAGTGTTCACCAAAAACCAAATCCAGGCCCATTCTGCTGGCTCCGCCCTCAGGTCCGGATTCTAAGTCGGATGGGGGGGTGGGGTGGCGGCAGGGCGGGAGTTTGAGCTTAACACACCAAAAACAAAAAAAGAAGAAAAACACCACCCTTTGCGTTCTGCTTATCACCTCCGGCTGCGATTAAGGGGCTCAGTGCCTGGGGTTAATCGGAGCACACTCGACCGATTTCCGTGACATACGTCTCTGCTCTTCTGGCAGAGATCGGAGGACACGCCCGGGGCCGCCAGTCGTCGGCTATGCAATGGATTGAACGAAACATGCGCCAGAGCCAATTTTTATATTTGACCATTAAAAACCTATGATTTTGCTTTACAATTCGACCCACAATCATCCCAGATTGCGTTGCCTTCGACGCTTTAGGCTCCGCGGCGTCGTCATCCGGCCCATCCTCCAGGATGCCTTCCAAAATTGGCATCTACTGGATCGATTAGCCCCCAGCAAATTGAATCGCAGCCCGCAGGAGATTTGGTTTATATCGCCTCATTTCGTACAAAGAGAAACCGCAACAAGAACACACTGCACATCGTTTTTTACACCCTTGCGTTATGTTTTTTAAATGTATTTAAAAGAAAAAAAAAGAAAGATATAAAACAAAATATGAAAAACACAGAAAAACCAAAAATAGAATGTAAGTTTAAATAATATGCTATTCAAAGAAATCCAAAACATGATTACCCATAAAACAAAAAAAAACGCAAAAACTAAAAATACTAATTATAGTACATACATTGATGTAGTGTTAATTGTAAGAACCCAGAAATTGTTTCATGAATGCCAGAAAACAGGAAAAGATAACAGAAAACAGAAAACCAAACTCCAAGCAGTCGTAGATGCAGATACAGTATCGAGAAGATTCAGCTGCGCAAAGCCCGTAAATGTACAAGTAACTATTTTTCTCTATAACAAAAGTAAATCTCCACCATTTTTGCTCCACATTTAAGAAACAAACTCGGTGCAGGCAATGATTGAATTTAGATGCAAAAATACAGCGATCAGGGGCTATAAATGCCATGCGATCAAGAAATTTTTAATTGAATTGTAACAGACTACGCAAGCAAATACGGAATTTAATATTAAATGTACAATAGCGTCGCTTTAATGTCTATAAGAACATTATGTTGCAATGCAAACGTGAAATCCAAACCTAAAACCGTTTGACATTGAGACAGATTCGAATGACATCAACAACAAAAAAACACACACAACACAAAAGATAACTGCAAAATAAATGTAACTGACATAACATATTGTTTTGATTGTATTATTACTGAATTGTGCTTTACACGCTTTGGATTTGTTGGGGAGGTTCCCGATAAGTAAGTATTTACCCGGACATATTTATCAGCAATAGTATTTGAAGCAAAAACGGACTAGCTATCGCAAGCCGAAGTTTTAATACCGTTGCGCAATTATACATATTGGATATAATCAACTTAGGGGATGGATCTGAAATGATATAAAACCATCGTATTAGGCAAAAACGGCGAGATACAACCCAATTTAACCCGAGCGTTTCTATGGCAGCCAAAGGATATAAAAGCCCGATCGGTTATTTTTATCAAGATCAGAATACGCAATAAAAATACAAGAACCGTACTGCCATATTGCATACATCTAGCAGTTAGAGGGTATATTCAAAATTGCGATAAAACATTATATGTATAAGACAGAAACAGCGAGAACCAAACAATTTCTTTCAGCTATTTTATTAAATTAGACCAGGTGGTCGCTATAGCATCTAAAGGATATAGATTTTTTGCAAAAATATTACATTTTTAAAGTGTTTCTTGGCCAAACGAAGACCCAGTCCTCAGCCACAGAATTTGTTGTGCATCTTACAACATTTATTATAAGGGGTTACATCATTATTTTTGACGAATATCGGTCAGAAATAAACAATCTTTCCAATTTGATAACGAGTCTAAAGAGGTACGACATTCCTAGCTTAGACAATTTTATCCCAAAAAAACTAATTTTTAGCGTTAATAATAATACTTAAAATTATATCCACATTAATTATTAACTTTTAACCTTTTATTCACTTGAGTCTTTTGCTTTACACATTGGTGTTTAAATAAATTATTTTTATTATTTTATTTGATAGGGGTGTATGGAACTTTTAAACTCATACAAATAGCTGATTAATGCTATTTAAAAAAATTTTTTTGTTTTAATTTATCTAAAGTTGCAAGTTGTCGTTAAGCGGATATTTATCATGGATGACCCCTGAAATTAAGAAGCCGAATTCAAATGTGAAATCTAAACTTTCTAAGCAGTCCCCAATTATCAGCTGGTCTACGGCTTAAAAATTTGACACTTAATTAATAATAATTGTATTTTTACTATATTTGTAACGTGGAATAATCAATTAAATATATATACAATACATATCACGTAAATTGCATTTAATCTAGGGCTAATATCGTAAGTTAGTTTCGAGCTTCACTACATATATAGGGTGTGCTGCCGTGTTTCTGCCTCGATGATAAAGACGAGAGCCAAATGACAAAAAATGATTACAACGCACATGATGAGAAATACATAGAGAATTACAAACTGCTGGCTGGTCACAAACGTCAACTATTTGTTCTGCTCCGAATCGGATGAGGCGTTCGAGACGATTGGGGGGGTTGACCTGCCATCGTACTGCTGCTGATTCACCAACCGCTGGCGCTCCAAGTACATGGAAACCTTGATGTTGCGCACCTGGTGGTTGTCGATAAGTTTCAGCAGGGCGATGACGCCGATTCCCACGGAAATAGCGAATGAGCCCCAGGCTCCAAACTAGAAATGATTAAGAAAATCAATTAGAAGTATGTCAAAAGGTCAACTGCATTGGACAACTAAGTAAGCAGTGGTTCCTGCAATCTATACAAAGTTGAATTCTGTTGTCTTGTGTAATCTTACCTGTGTGGTGCCCATTTCGATGTAGAATCCCGAGGTGTTAATCTTCTCCGTGTCGCCGCGGATAATGTTCTGGCCCGCAGAAATAGCGCAGGACGGGAATCTCTGGGTCATGCCATCGCACCAAACAATGAAACCCAGGGTAATAAATATAGCCGACAGGATAGACATGGCCAGCATCCAGATGCCCAAGACGACATCAACGAAGAGGGCTATGAACGAGGCCTCCTCCTTCATGCGGGCATATCTACAAAATAATAAATCGTAAAGCTTGATAGAGTACTGTGTACTCATTAATCGTTCTAAGGTACACACCTGTATATCTGCACCACCGAAATGATGAGTAGGAAGAATCCGGTAATCAGAGGGAAGTTGCAGAAGCCACTAGAGGCCCACTGGACATCGAACATGCCATCCTCCTCCCGCCATTTGCCAGTCGTGAAGAGGAGACAGTGTCCACTGTGGAAAATGAAGGTGTTCAATTATTTACTAGGGGCGAAGAGAAAACTGCGCACTTCCGTACCAGAATTGGTCGAGGTTGATAAACAATGGCACAATGATGCACAGCGACAGGATGAACAGGATGACATGGCCAGCGATCTGGCTCAGCTGCAGCACATTGGCCAAGGCCATTTTGTCTTTTAAACAAAAACTTAAATTTAACAATACAATTTGCACGGAAGCAATAATGCACTTCTCGCTGTTATCGATAAGTAGTGTTGAACAGCGCGCAGTAACCGCTTGCATCGGAATGCGAGTTCATCGAAATATACGCAGGAGGCCCTGGCTCTCGAAAGTCCATCTCTAGTTCGCCCTGAACTCGTAAAAAAGTGTAAAATTTGTTTACATTAAAAAAAGGTAAAATAGAGTACTTGCGGGGTACTTCTGGAGCTCTTTGGTTGCCAGATAAGCCAGCCAGAACAAAGGGCCGCGCGCATGTGTTGGGCGTGGGTCGTAGACAGCGCGGGGGTGGGGGAACAGCCAGGGCGAACAAAGAGCAATTAATGCGATAGGCTGGGAAAGGGAAGGGGGCTTTCTCCTCCGACTTTCCCCACTTCCCGGACTTTCCTATAGAGGCTGTTGTGAAACGAAAAGGTGACGATCGCTTGCTTGAGTGTGCAAGGAAAACCCCGAGGAGCACCCTACCCCATTCTCTATTCTCGGTCTGATCCTTTGCAGACGCAGAACCAGCGGACGCAGATCAATGAGGTGCTTATGAGCTAACTAGCAGCAGGACGGCAGCCAAGGAACACGGGAACGAGGTCCGGATCAAGAGCAAGGTGCCAGGATTCACAGGCTAGAAGTTAGCGTAGACTGGAGGGCAGCGGGTGACCTAGTTTACCCAGTACAAGGTAAGCCAAGGCCAAAAGTTAAGACTAAACTTTACTAACAGCCCCACCGATTTTCAGAAGATTAGAGGACTGGCGGCGTTTCTGTGGCAACTCCTACTGGGGCTGTTCTGTTGTATTAATTGAACTTAGAGCATCAACGTGCACTGCCATTAGCTGTTAACCTTAATATACCTACCTAACGTAATTAGTGTACTTGACCTCCTGAGGAGCAGAATGTCCAACTCCCACTACAACAACTACCAGCAGCAGCCGCACTCCAGCAACGGAGATGCGGAGTACCAGCATCAGCAGATGGTTCACCAGCCGCAGCGGTTCTCCAATGGCCACGGAATGAAGAGCGTGGCGGTGCCGGACATGTGCCTCTTCTGCTTCGAGGTGCTCGACTGCGAGCTGAACAACGTAGATGGACCGTCGGTGCCCGTCTTCAGCAACGATGCCTACCCGCTGTTTGTGACCTGGAAGATTGGGCGCGACAAGAGGCTGCGCGGCTGCATTGGCACGTTCAGTGCCATGGAACTCCATCACGGACTGCGCGAGTACGCCTTGACCAGCGCTTTTAAGGACTCTCGATTCGCCCCAATCTCCAGGGACGAGTTGCCGCGTCTTACTGTCTCGGTCTCGATTCTACAGAACTTCGAGGAGGCCCAGGGCCACCTGGACTGGCAGCTAGGTGTCCATGGCATCCGCATCGAGTTCCTTACGGAGCGTGGCTGCAAGCGCACGGCCACTTATTTGCCGCAGGTGGCCACCGAACAAGGCTGGGATCAGCTACAGACCATTGACTCACTTTTACGCAAAGGTGGCTATCGGGCTGCCATTACCCAGGAGCTTAGAAAGTCCATCAAGCTCACGCGCTACCGCTCGCAGGAGATCCAGATGCACTACAAAGAGTACCGCGAGCACCAGGAGCGACGCGCCCAGTTCGGCAAGGTGCAGTGCTAACAATTGGACAGGCCGGCGGTGAGGCGATGATCCTGGCTGAGGGCAGGCTTGCTAGCCGTCGTCCTCCTGCTGTTGCTAGCCTTTGAGTTTGGGCCAGCTTGGCGGCCGGTCGCTTGATCCGAGTTTTGAGTTTTTACACCTTTAACTACCATTTAAAGCCCTTACAAGTTCTCCAAAACGGGCGCGAGATGAACGCCTTTTATTAAATATACCAATTAATGCTTGATATACTTAAGCGGCAAATCCGTAAAAAATTTCGAACAAAAAAATCGAAAAGTTAATAATCAATAGGTTGAATCCCCTTTTAATCGGATTACTTTGATCAATGTTGTAGCCGCGGCCTTGCTGGTTTCTCTTTTAAATCAAACACACACAAACTAAACAAAACAAGCATATATATAGGGATATATATTACCGAATCAATACAATACAAAAACGCAGATATGTAATTCAAGTAAAATGTTCAGCAATTATATTAATAGATTTAACAACTAAACCAATTACATTACTAATTCTAATTCTATGCGCATTAAATAAAGGTCGACCCCATCCGAGTCGCACATGACAATGCAAAATATTATCCGTCCTTACTCTTGGGGGTCGTGGAAGCAAATGGAGTTTACACCTTAATGTTTTGGCTTACACGTATTCAATGTGTATTGTTTATTGTTCCATTATGCTGTGCGTTGTTACATGGGTTTGTACTTCTAAATCTAGTCGATAATATCGATATATGTTTGGGCTTTACGTATGGAGTAATCTCAACAGGTTGCCAAGACAAGTCTGCCTCTTGGATATATTGCTAAAAAAAAAGCTGCGCTACGCAGCAAGGCTAATCAAGTGGTTTAACAACTAAGCTAGTAACAGAGCAAGTTAATCTATGGCTAAAGCGATGAGCAAGCGCTCAATTAATATAATTACTGGCGTATGGTATAAATGTATATATTCAATATATAGTCAATAGATCGCGTTGATTGCAATAAAGTATGAGTCCATTCAGCTAGCTTTTCAACAAGCAGGGCAATTGTAATAGATGGATTTGTCTATATATAGCAACAAAATCGCATTCCATCGCATTGTAGTCTAAATAACTTTCAATGTATATGGCAGTACAATCAACTTAATGCAGTGCCAAATTCCGAGCAGTAAAACATAGAAGTCTCAGATAGCTAAACAAAAAATTTACTTATAGTTCCGTCCGTGTGTGATTCACCTCCTGGTCCATCCCAATCGAGTCTCAGTCTCAATGCTTGCACAGAAACTGCTCTAAGCACTGGCACTAGGTGGTCGACAAGGCGTTCCACTCGAAGCGCGGGTTCTTCGAGTGCGTCACCGGCAGGCACTCGGGCTCCACTAGCTTCCAGACCCCGTCCACCTGCTCCACCGTGGCCAGGCTGCAGTAAGGGATTTTATGGATCACCTGGCGCAGTTCGTTAGAGCTTCGTGGAACTCCACCGGTCAGCTGCCGGGAGCAGGTGTCCAGTGTGGTAGCATGGGCCACAACCAAAATGTTACCAGCTGGAAAAGAATGAATTACACATTAAGGGTATACAGCTTAAGAGGAAATGGGGCTTATTACTCGTCTGTTCCAGCAGCTGCAGGATAACATCATGATTGCGCTCATAAAACTGTTCCGTGGACTCCTTGAGGCGAGCGGTCAGATCTGACGATGGCTGCAATGGCTCGTAGTCCAAATCCACGTCGTACTTAGCCTCGGTCAGCTCGTTCTTGGTCAGCCAATCGGGAACTCCGCTGGGGTACCAGGCCATCCATTCGAACAGCCCCGGCTCCAGCTTGATCTTGTGCTTGCCCGTGAGCTTTAGCCCCTCCAGAGCACTAGTGCAGGTCTGGATGCAGCGATACGACGGCGAACAGTAGACATGGTCAATCTGGACCTGGGCCTCAAACAAAGCCTGTCCAATAAGATTTGCCTGATAGACACCGACGTTGGTCAGCGGTGAGTCATTTTGCCAGCCCTCGGGACTATTCTTCCGGCGCGGCAGCGTCTTCGGCATGTTCAGATCCTTCCTCATATAGTTTCCAAACTCATCGAAGCAGTATGGAATCCATGTGCCAAAAGTGAAGTCGACGCGCTCTCCATGCCGCATGATGTATATCTTTCGATTCTTGGCATGCGAGGCATCCAGTGAACCAGGATGTAGCGAGTGATCTGAGTGGACGCTGAGCGTGTCATCCGGACGCGGCGGTTGGGGTGCCGGTGGTTCCACCAAAATCTCGTCCACAGGCTGCTTGGACGCGGAGGTGGAGCAGGAAGACATATTGGTCGTAATTTCGATCGTGGGAGTATTCGGGTTGTGCTGATGGGCCAAGTTGTGGTTATTGAGCAGTTGCACGGAGGGCAGTTCCAGGCAAGGCTTTAGGGTTTGTCGCAAATACTTTTCTACGCTCTGCTCGGATTCCTCAAACGAAGAGCCTTCAATTATCTCGGGATGTGCTGTATCTGTAGAGGAATGAAAAAGGTGACACTTAAGTAAGATACTACTTCACATATTTAAGTTTTTTGTGTACAAAATGGGGGTAAATCCCCCACCATTTAATTGAATATTAATTGGATATTAATGAGACCCTTTAAAGCTTAACTAAAACGAATTTCTTCGTGCCGCCGAGCTGGAATTTAGCTTAAATTATTAACATTATGATAATTATGTATTAAGTGACGCTGCAGAAATGGTGTATAATTCGCCAACACTCATTATAGCGTTTATTTATAAAACATACTTTTTCGAAAACTTAAAAATGAATCTTCGACAGGCCCTCTTAACTTATCCAGAAAGGTTCACATTTTATTAATCAATTATAATGCAACTCACGCTGACGTTCCTCGGGCTCGGTCGAAATGCTACGTCCGTCCACAATGTCCAGATCCTCGGCAGAAGTCAGGGAGGAGGCGACGCTTTTGGACAGTTGAACCACTCGGTGCAAGGTCCAGGCGTCCGATTCGGCAGTGCGTTCTGTGTAGTTGACGGGCAGGTGTCCCGTGCTTCCAGTCAACCAGGATATTCCCTCAGCCCAACCGTCGCTGGAACTGTCCACCACCTCGGTGTTTAAGTAGATGTAGTCGCCGATGCGCAGCTCCAGTTCATCCGTCTCGTGCGGGTTGTGTGGATAGACGACTTTCTGGACCTACAAAATTACAATAAGGGATTAGAACGCATCCTGGATGAACAGCATAGAGTTCTAACTTGTTTGGTGGCGAGCCGCGGATCGCGTGAATATAGACGAAGTTCCCAATTGGAGGCGCAGCCGGCGTCTAGTGTCTCCACAAGTGCTTTCAGTGCATTGAACTGTGCCTGCGGGAACTGGTAGGCAAGCGTCAGGTGCAGGCTCTTTACGTGTGGCTCGAGTGAAATGGCTACGGGAGTCAGAAGCAATTAGTGGCCGATCGGAAAGCGGGGCAAACGATTACTGAATGGCAACGAAAGCGGTGCTGCTTATAAGCGTTTGTATCTAGCAGGGTGAGTCGATTTTTTGATAAGGAATCGTAGTTACGAAAAGTAATCTGCTTTTATAAAATGAGAATATCACCAGATCACTTTATATGAGATGAAACCTATCGTTATTTAGGAGTCTCAAATAATGAATTATGGTAAATTTAATATATTTATTAAAAGATAAATACGTATATAATCACAAATAATTATGAAAAATCAAAAGGCGTAAGACTAACTTATCAGCTTAACAAACAAAAAAATAGCTTTGAAACTTAAAAGAAAAAAAATCGACCCACCTTGTTATCTTCAGATTTTACTGCTAATAACAATACACTACAATTAGCAGTGTCATGTCGAATTTTACCATAGGGTGTATAGATTAGTAAGCTTGTGCTAGTGCGAGTGGGACATGCATCGAGTGATAAGAAAGTGTGGACAGTGGTGAGTCAGATATGAATTTAATGCAAACTAATGGCTTACATCGACTGCTGCGCGGAATGCAGCGGGTGCCCGAGGACACAGCTCCGCACCAGGGAAAGCAGGCCACAATTGCGTCCAACTGCTCATAGGTATCGCTTATAACTGCGCAGCATTACCCATTATCCAGGTATCCAGAGATTAGTGTGCAGGGAGAGAGGAGAACAACATAACCGTGTAAGCCACTCCGAAAAATGGGAAACCATCAACCGAATTGAATCAAACAGAACGTGAAAGGTAAACCAAAACAACCCAAAGAGAGTGCAACCAACAGAAGGAAAGTTCGTACTTGAGTTGGACACCTCCTTGACGTACTGCAAGGCCAGACGCTTGAGATAATTGGCATCCTCCTCGGCCACAAAGAAACCCATAAAGTTCTGGCTCATGTAGGGCTCGAGCTTTAGGGGCCGATCCAACAAAGCGCCCGTCATGTCCACCACTTGCTTAAGAGCCTTGGACAACTGCAGCGAGCACTCATCGGGGGCCTGTAATAGATATCGTTGCAGTAAATATAGCCAGAAAGATCCTGCCTAAGCTCACCTTAAAAAAGGACACCAGGGTTATGTGGGGGACGTAGTTGTGAGCTCCATTCCAGCCGCACATTTGGCGCGATTTGGCCCAGAATTCCTCCAGCTGCTGCAGAAACGGACCCGTGGGACATGCATATATGATGTACTCCCTGGGGGCACACTCGTCCAAGGTGGCATCGTTGACATGGGCCAGCAGCCAATCGGACGCAATCTGGACTCCTCGATTGCCCGTGGAAGCCAGTGCTTTCTCCCTGTGTAGTTGCAAACAAAAAAATCAATACTCTGATTCTCTGGAGCTGCAGCCGATTGGAGGTCGCACTCCAAGCTCCAAAGCCTCTTTATGTGGGAGGTACTTCGAGGAAGTGGTGACATTCAACTGGCTATATAGAAAACTCACGCCCTATGTCTTGGAAAGCCCATTTGAAGCAATGTTTGGAGCGGCGTCAGATGCTGCTTGGAAATGCAGATTCTCGTAGGCGTCTGACTCTTGCGCGGCGGAAGCGTGGCCATGTCGATGATAGCTTCCTTTTTAAGCGCGGAAGACCAGCGTTTGGCAGCTTTTTGTTTTTGGTGGTTCTTCAATATTTTTCAGTGATAAATTCAACAAAAATAGGATACAATTCGTTAATTGGACACACAAAAAAGTGTTAGCTAACGGCAGCGGGAAGATATGGCAATGCCTATCGATAGTTAAATCGATTACGCCATCGATTGCCCGTACTGACCAGTAGAGATGAGAGCGATTCTCCTAGCGAGACAACAACAAAATTCACTGCGTAATTAATTAAACATTTTAGTAAAATCGAGGCGCACCACAAAGAAATAGCTCGTCGAGTGTTCAATAGTGTTCAAAGTAAGTGCCAGTGCCAAAGAAATAAAGTGAAAAGCGAAAGCGCAGCCACCAAAATAGTGTTACGCAGCAGACTAAAAGTGCATGGAAAATGCCATTGGAGCCCCACATCAAAAATACACACAAACGAAAAACGTACACACAAAGGCCCACGTACACCAACGCAAATGGTGGTGTGATGGTGGTGGTGGAGCACAAAAACAAGTTGTTCATGGACTCCAAAGAGGGGGCGGAGAGAATGTGGAAGGTTATCTGTCCACTGAGAACCCAATTTCGCACTATTTTCGATTGACCCATGTTACTCCCCCTCTAGGGTCAGAAAATCGAGGAAATGGGCGTTTTCCCTGCTGTGTTTCCTGGTATTTCAGGCTGAGTGGCGCTGTCTTTGTCTGTGCTCTGCGCACTTTCTCCGCTGCGCCAGCAAATAGTAGTGATCCCGTTTAATCGCCCCGATGCGGTTGCTTCCTTCCGCCCCCACCTCCTATTATCACAGTCCAGCGATCACTCACTGAGAATGACTCATGGTTTTGTGTTTATCACCCAGCTCAATGGATCATGGCACCAACCTGCGTCATGTTGTCTGGTTTTACAAACATGTTACAGCTGTCACCGAACTTCGAAATCTGTAAATTCTGCCTTTTTAAAGGGTATAAGCGAGGATTGAATTTGTATCAAAAATTCTAATTCTTGTCTTATACATAAAGAAAAAAGATTTTTAAATAAACTTCACTTGCTAATCTCATTAGTCTTTAATGGCTTCGAGTTATCGGCAGATGGACTCTGCCCAGGTTGATCAACAATTCAAATACCTTATAGACTTAGATTTGGAAAAGCTTCAATCTCTTTGCTAAAAAGATTATAAAGAATATATATTCTCCGAACTCCACGTCTAATTCAGTTACCTGCTTAATTGAATTAAAGAAAATACCAAAAGTATTTTTAACATGCAATCAATATCTTTCTGTGACTTACAGCCCCAAAAGCCAAAAGAGAAACCCTCAAGTAAGCCAACCCCACAAAATACATCGAAATGTCTGGTCGTAAGAAATCCCTGCTGAAAGTCATTATTCTCGGCGACAGCAGTGTGGGCAAGACTTCGCTCATGAATCAGTATGTAAACAAACGCTTCTCCAACCAATACAAAGCCACAATCGGAGCGGACTTCTGCACGAAAGAGGTGGTGGTCAACGACCGCGTTGTCACAATGCAGGTGAGCCATTAGATTTGGGAAACTGTCTAAATCAGTGACTTAAACCCTACAATTTTTATACCAGATCTGGGACACTGCTGGTCAGGAACGTTTCCAGTCGCTTGGAGTGGCATTCTACCGCGGCGCCGACTGCTGCGTGTTGGTCTACGATGTGACGGCGCCCAACTCCTTCAAGAATCTCGACTCGTGGCGCGACGAGTTCCTCATACAGGCCAGTCCACGCGATCCCGAGCACTTCCCCTTTGTGGTATTGGGCAACAAAGTGGACCTCGACAACCGCCAGGTGTCTACTCGTCGGGCGCAGCAGTGGTGCCAATCGAAGAACGACATACCCTATTACGAGACGTCCGCCAAGGAGGGCTTCAACGTGGAGATGGCGTTTCAGGTCATAGCCAAGAATGCGCTGGAGTTGGAGGCGGAGGTGAGTAGCCCTTTTTAACCTGGCTGTCCTGCAACAAAACTAACGTCTCAATCTTGCACAGGCTGAGGTTATCAACGATTTCCCCGATCAGATCACCTTGGGCTCGCAAAACAATCGTCCTGGAAACCCTGACAACTGTCAGTGCTAATGTAACAACGCAGCCTGGAGAATTACACAATCTATATTATTAAATAATATTTCCAACATAATAATGAACATGAGAAGCAAGTAACACAAAGGACGACAGAGGAAAGTGTTCTATAATTAAGTAAAACAATTTCAGCAAAACAGCATAGTAATTAATTAATTGATAGGATGCAAAGTTCAGATTCAGATCAACATCAGCAGACTCTAAACGGGCCTCTGGCAAAGGCTTTACCAATATACCCAACTTCCTAAGACCTAAGTAACCGTTCTATGAATATGTATGCTCTGTGTACTTGTATTTAATAACTCATGTTTCTGACCGCCCGCCTATCTCCCTAGTACTATTTTTGCCATTGTATTAGTCAAATTTTGCACGCAACCGCTGCTGGCTTTTGCAACAGAACAGCAACATAAAGAATACAACATCAGAGTATCTTCGAAACAAACAAAAAAATCTTGTGATTGTAAATTTAATAAAAAGAAAACTTTTTTAATGTAATTAAGGACATAATTTCCTGCACCATCTAATTGGCTATTCAATCGTAACTGGCTCAGCTTCACATAACTCTCTTTTGCAAAACAGAGTGTAAATTTGGTTTAGTTATAATGTTACTTGATAATTATGAATAGTATTCCATGTAAAATTGCTCCTTGTTTTTGGTAATACATATATGTAAATTGAGAATATTTGGCATGTACCTTATTCCACTGAATTATATTATAAATTGTCATGCTTTTTGGTTTAGTTTAAACAATAAACAATGAAAAATTACCAATAAAACATAATTAAGCTATATACGGGTGTTTTCATGCGGGTTTCCATCATTTTCTACCACCGTAATACAGTTGCAAACTAGAGATGGAAGTAAATGAGTATTAATTATCGATAATACTGCACTGTTACTTAACATTCTTCTGGAAAATCAGCTGCTCCTGTTGCCTGTTAACTAGTGAAGATTATTTATTTTATCATCTTGAATGTCGCATATTTCACCTGAGTCCCCGCCTCCTCCGCCACCACCACCCATGGTGATCAGCCCTAGAGCACCTGCTGCAGCAAGTGAACCATCTGTTGTGGTCAATATAACCACCGATAAGTGCAGTTGGGCCTTGGAATACCCGGACGTCCAAAAGGCATGTTTCTTCAGTCGGGTGTTTGAGGATGCTCCTCCAAAACACTGCCAATATTACTCCGTGAAGAGTATACTTCAGGTGAGTTTAAAAATGAGCTATTTCTTAGTTTAAAAAATTAAATAATTATATTACTTAAGGTTGGCCCCACCTGCGGATTGACGGCCTTGAGCATGTTGCTCGGTGGTCATCCCCCTGCAGAGGATCTTCTTAAGGATGCCATTGCACATGAGTACACCTTAAATGGAGAATTGTTCAGTGCTCAGTATTTGTTTAAACTTACCCGGAAGCACTTGCCAGGACCTGCCGCATGTCAGCTACACGTGGGCCCTCTCTACTGCAAAAAAGTCAAGGAGCTACTAAAAGCCGGGGGCTGCCTACTAGTGCCGTATCCTTTCACAAATTATTCCTTTTAACCAATTTTAAACATAGTTAAATTTCGGTTAATTCCCGCATTTTAAAAGCTGTTAGCGTCTAACAGCACATATTAACGTGCAACAGCACACTGTAACCTACTAGTGTTGCAAAAACCGCGCATACTTTCTGCTAAAAAATATAAACAGGCGTTTTGAGTTTTGCAAAATATTGTAAAATTTGCAGTCAATTAGTAAAAAAAAGTGAAAATTGTTTTAACAAATGGCCGACGAATCAGAGCAGGTATGGTAAAATTTTACAACAAAAAAGAACAACCCTAATTCTCGTATTTGCAGCTCAGTCAGGTAATTTTGCCGGTGAAGGAGCCCCTGGATCTCATCCGATTAAGTTTGGATGAGAAGGTGTACGTCAAAATGCGCAACGAACGGGAACTGCGAGGGCGTCTTCATGTAAGTTACTTTACCTTATAATACTTCAGTAATCCCCAAGGAAAAACCTTTTCCCAGGCTTTTGATCAGCATCTGAACATGGTGTTGGGCGACGCAGAGGAGACGGTGACCACTGTGGAGATCGACGAGGAGACCTACGAGGAGGTGTACAAGACTGCTAAACGCACCATTCCCATGCTTTTCGTTAGAGGCGATGGAGTCATTCTAGTCTCACCACCAATGCGGGTGGGCTAGCAAGTCCCCAACGTTCAGCTATAAATCAAATCACCTGCATTTATACAAGCTGTATCTATATAGGTTAATAAAAGTCTTTTAAACACAATCACAACTTATTTTTAAATACAAAAGATTATTCCGAAATCTGTTACAACTCATACCTCAAAGTTATGATACTTTCCATATGTATTTATTCCTATGGGTTATCCTTAAATCAATGGTAACTTTCTACTCAAAGATACGATGCTGATGTCAACCATGCGCCTTGCCTGAAATCCGGTCACCGAGCTCATTGGGCTTTGATTGTGGGCTATCTGGTGGACACACAGGATCAGGTAAGTATTTAATGACACGTGCTTATATCCAATACTAATGTGTAATCTTTCCGCAGTACTATGTCTTGGCTCGTCACGGCAAGACCAGAAACCTGGCAGTTTGGTCACTGGACACGCTCAGCCAGAGCAATGCCAATCTTCTGGAGTTTGCCCAGCCAAAGGGCTATCCGGATAATGACTTTCTGCTGCCACCGGGTGGAGTTAGTGGTCCTCTGGGCCTCAACGAGCGCTCCATTCTAGTTAACGGTTTGCTCCCACAACCGGTGCTTCATGTGCGCTGATCCTACTTACATTTGTTCAATAAAGAGTCTTGATCATTTCGTATTTAACTTTAATATTTTTAATAGTACAATTATAAATTACACGCCTTACAGTATTTCACTTCGCAACGCAATCAACGCACCACCTCGAAAGCCCTTTCCATCTTTCAGTTCAAACGGGAGAAAACACGCAGTTTTCGTATTAAATCGGTTCGCAACAACTACGGGGACACGATTGGGATTTTAAGGGAAATAGAATATAATATACATTAATGATATATCGAACTGTCTCCTGCTAGTGCCTGCTGTATATAGATTTATGTATACATGTATAAATTTACGCTTTTTCTGCCTTTGAAATTTCAAAAATCACAACAATAAGAGTAGTACACATGGTTTGTATATGGTTGATTAGATAGATATACTATATATAGTATGTATTGTATATAATTTCACACACAGATATTTTTCTGATTTAGGTAGTATATAGACGACGGGTTTGGTTAAATATGTCAAGTTTTTAGCATGCTTCCTAACACTTAGATACTTTTGATAGTTGGCCAGACGGGAGCAACGATTTTGAGATCATGGGGCCTAATGCTCCCGATTGCTTGGGTACTGTCGGTCTAGAGAGTATACATATATGCTAGGACATGCCAACAGGCAGGAGCAACGTGTCCATGGAAATTTTTGAAACGGTAACTACAAAGTTTGTTTTTAGTTCTAGACCTTCTTGTACAGGATATTTTGATACGCGTTGTTCATCTTTGACGAGTTTATAATTACGTTAAGCATATCGTTAAGCTAGTAGTGTCTGTTTGTCTGTCTGTGTCTGATTGCGGGTCGAAAGTATCTGATAAATTCACAAGATGCGTGTGGAAATTAACTTAAATAATCGTTACAGGCTAACGGTTTATTAACTAAAAATTTACAAATACTAATTATAAATAAATTATCATTCTTTTCAGTTTTATAATATTTATTGCCGCGCAAGTGATTGGCTCCCTTGCTCCAAGCACATTTCAGTTTGTGTGTGTCTGTTTATCTGTGTGTTGTTTTTGGGAGTTGGGGTGTCCCATGTGAGCTTGGGGTTAAAATGACTAGGATAATTCAGCACAGGACATGGGAGTGCAGCCAATAAGCGCAATGGGAAAGTTCTTGACGTGCGTTTGCCATTGCGACGATACTTGGAAGAACTTGACTCCCGTCCATTCGGTGCCATCGATGTACACTGAAAAATATTAGCGGAAATTAGAGGAACTCCGCTATTGCTGCGAATATGAATCACTCACCTCTTAGTGGCACTGGATGCGATTGCTTGGGTGAGCAAATCAAACGGGCAACGCCCTCAACACATTGCTCCTTCTCGAGATCACGCTCCTTATCCTTTTTCTTGCCCAAGCGCATAACTGAAAGCCAAGAAGAGTGAGTGAGTGGGCCATCTTAATCTTGAAAAAAGATCAACTTACTCTGCTTTTGCTTCTTCTCCTTGGTGGCAAAACTAACAGTCAGTCCATTGAACATATCACCCAATTGCTGTGCATGCTGTGGCAGTCGCCACACCTGCAGGTTCCTAAACGTACTCTTAATGCTATTCTTGCCGCCGGCGTCACTGCCCTTAGACATGCCGCCCTTCGAATCCTTGGCGTGCCCCTCGCCCGGCCTCACCAGTGGCCAGTAGTCCACCTGCAACTCCACGGCCTCCGCTGCCGCAAGAGCTCCACTGAAGGTTTGCTGCTGCAGCGAGGATGGCGTACTCAGCGATTCGCTGGTGTTGCGCTCCCTATGCGAGGATGCGGATGACGGTGGCGTCTGCAGGGGCGGTGAGATGCGTCCCAAGCTTTGCTGCTGCGGCGGTGAACCGGACACCACGCCGTGCACATTCGGCGAACTCTGGCTGCCAATGGGGATGGCTGAGCTGGAGGCGGATCCAGAGCCAAGTCCAGTGCCGGCCGCGCTGGAACCAGCTGCAATCTCCTCAAGATCCAGCGAAGCCTGGGTGTCCAGATAGCCAATTCGCACATCCTGTAAGTTGAAACGAGTATTGGTTACTCATTCAAACACAATTAATATGAATCTTTGCTTACACTAACAAACGGCACAAATATCTGGCACGAGTCCTCGTCCTTGTAGTTGACCATTGCCTCGGCAATGGGTATCTGGGTGCAGGGACCTGCCGCAAGTAGATAGCGCTGGATGCGCTGCACCAACTCCGCGATATCCGACTTGGCAACGCCAGCAGCATCCGCCAGATTAGTTGTCAAGGCGGTGGCATTAACTGTGGTGACGGCACTAACCGCTGCCGCTGTGGCCGCCGACCTCTCGCACAACTGCGTCCAGTTGTCTGACCCGAACATAGCCGCATATGCCTGATCCATCTGGCTGAGGTGTCGCGCCACACTGCCGCTGCTGCCGCCCACGGGCACCAGGTAGAAGCGCAGGTGATTCAGCCAATCTGGGGGCCGTACTCCCATCAGTTCCACGTAGTGCCGCAGGGTGGCTCCCTGCAGCCAATCTCCACCAATCAGCAGTACCTTGACCGTGTGCGGTGGCTTGGCGTTTGAGTTACAACTGAGCGAGGCAACAAAACTCGTTAGCTATTTCAATCGGATGGTAGAATGCAAAATACTTACTACTTCTGGATCTTGGCCATGAGCGCCTGCAGCACCGCCTTAACCTCGGCGGTGTTCTGCGGCACGAAGGCCGGTTTGAAGGAGTTGGCAAAGAGCGTGACCAGCTTAGCCAGCAACGCACTGCCGCCCAGCGCCTCCGGCGGACTGATGATGGTCACCACCTCTGGAATGCCGCTGTCCTCGCCGGCGAACACGCGACTCAACTGGTCGAGCAGCAGCTTGCGTGGCTCCACGTTGGTGGGCGAGAGGCAAGTCTCCAGCATGGATCTCGGCTCGGCGCTGAGGCTCAAGGTGTGCTTCCTTTTTCCGCCTCCTGAAGCGCTAATGGCACTGGCACTGTTGCCTCCACTTCCTGTGATTCCTGGAGTATTGCTGGAGGTTCGGAACAATCTCGAACGCTTCTCTGTCTGAGCGGGCGTTACCACGCTGCCACTTCCCAAACTTGCTGCCACCGAGCTCACTGGGGTCAACTGCTGCTGCTGCATCTGCTGCAGGCGCATATAGTCCTTGTCCCTGGGCGGACTGTTCTGCGGATCGGAGTTCTGTCCATCCGTATAGCCAGCATTCCCCTCATTGCCGGAACTATCGTTACCCCCACGATCTGTGAGAAGCATAAAAGAGATAAGACGATGGTTAAAGCGGTAAAGTCAGGTTATGAAAGGTTTAGGGTATGGGTCTACATAGTGGTGGTTTTTTCGAAAAATTACGAATAATGCTCAAGCCCAAAAAGTATTTTCTTATTTAAATTTCTTTGGTAATTCATTTTATCAGCAGAGTGAAAAATTAAAGGTTATTATTTCAAGGCATTGATTAAGTTAATGATCTTTTAAGCCATTCGATTAAAAACAATAGATATAGTTATAAAGTAAACATGTTTGTTATTTGAAAAACAGATTAATATTGTCTTTCTTTTAAAAATGTGGTATTTGAGTTAGTCTGGAAAGCCTTTTATAAACACTTTTGTTTTAATTGCTTGAGTATGTTCTTCCTCATTTTTCCAAAGATCCAACCATTACGATATGACCCCAGGTGAGGGAATGGGTCTGATGACGGGGGTGTAAACTGGGGGCACAAGACATGCGGAGACCAAACAAGACAAGATAAACAGAATCGTGAGACTGAATGGCGGCCACAAATAGTGGGTCCCGAAATAGAACGCCCCTGCGAAGAGTTTCCCAGTCCAAGGAGCACCGTGTAAATAAATAATAAAAACGCGGACCGAAAAAATAATTAAAGCTTTCTTTATTTTATGACCATGATGGGGTGGGATAAAGGTGGGGGAAGTGGCCATATTTTTCTGAGGCAGAAATTTCCGGCTCGTCGTGCTTGAATTTTCAAAGCCATGTGCCGATTAATCAAAAAACGCACGACACGAAAAAAAAGTGAAAGTGAAGGTAAAGTAAAAAAGGGGAACTAGTCGGGGGAACAAATAAATCCAAGAATTCACCAAGTGGATGGGTCGGGACTGGTGGCATAGCACTGTGATTAAGGGTGTTGTTCTCAGGGGTCTGACGTCTATGTCGGGGCTAATTGGAAAACCGCTTCAAGTGCGTCGAAGGTTCAATTGTCATGCCACATACTCACACACAATTTTACACATGTAAGGACATTGGCTTCTTTTGGGGGAAAGGCGGAAATGTTTATTTTAAGACCCCACAAACATGCACCTCAACTATGTATACTGTACACAATCGATCAATGAAATTGACGCACATATCAAAGATTTCCCTTAATTCAAACCGACATTTTGAAGCATGCAAAGGTGCAGAGCGGTGTGGTGCAATAACTAAGTTAGAAACAAAGTATACATTTACATTTCCAGTGTATTTGTGGCATTGTGTGGCTTTGTAACTGTATGCGTGTGTGGGCTGTGCGTGAGTGTGGAGAAAGTAAGGGATTTGGGTATACGCTTCCTTGAAATATTAAAAAAGCTACTTCTAATCCTGAGAATTGCTATCTTCATATTACTACATAATTTTCTTAGAACCGGTAGTCAAAGGGAAATAAGGTAAATTGATTATATGTATTTAGCAAAGGAGGAAGCTTACGAAATTTTGTATATTTATAACATCACAATAAACTGGAAAATGTATGTATTTTGTACAATAAAGTTATAACTTAAAGTAAAACCTTTTAATGTTTGGATATTTTTTTTTAATATTTTAGGAAGGCGTACACCCTTTTAAGATCAAGAGGTGGACAAAAATTTGGGAATGTTTCTGATTGGACGATGCATCTGATTGAGATTATTTAAAAACAAACTGGACAACGGATTGCAGTCAATGGAATTCGCACAACTGTTTGTGGTCTCATTTTGGTGTTATCAAGTGGTATGCAAGTAATGTGTAGTATTTCTATAAATTTTGATTCGGGGGTATTTGGGGTATTTTTTTCGATTTTGCTGTAATGTACACAGACCTGGTGTTGTTGCCGAAT